CAAATAATGTTATTTTTAGCAGCATCATATGACCCCTTTAATGTAAACCATAAAGTGCAAAATTCACTTCCCTTCGGACTGAATACTTCACAATCACAACCCAAAATCAACAAGCTTTTTCGGCACATGGGCACTCAGCCGGAGAAAGAGATCAATAATGCAGTTAACACGGCAAATTAACACAGTGAAATTAACACCAAGACCGAACACCCACATCTTGCCAAATGCATTCAAACGGTCTTCAAAGATGTTCTGTTGCTGCTTTGCACTGCAGAAAATAACAATGAATGCAAACAAATTTGACATAAAGGGATAGTTCACCCAAAAATTTAAATTCTGTCATTAATTATGCACCCACAAATCGTTCCAAACATGTAAAAACTTTGTTCATCTTTGGAACACAAATTAAGATATTTTTGATGAAATCCAAGAGTTTTTTGACCTTTGTGTGCAAAGAAAACAAAAATAACTTTATTCGACAATGTCCTTTCTACCTTTCTGGGCCTTGCACGTGTCAGTTGCATTGCTGTCTATGCAGGTTCAGAAATCTCTCAGATTTCATCAAAAATATCTTAATTTGTGTTCCAAAGACGAACGAAGGTCTTACGGGTTTGGAATGGCTTGAGGGTGAGTAATTAATGACAGAATTTTTATTTCTGGATGAACTATCCCTTTAAAATGGGAAAAACTTCGCAAACTTATCCTGCGTATCATACACAATAATAAATAAATGTTTTGAGCCAAAATGTCTACTATTAAGGTTGATAAGATCAGAATTTACAGCGATCGTTAAAAATATGTTATGTTAGTTACATTATAATTGTTCTTCGTCTTTTTTACTAGAAATTCTTTAAAGCAAACACTTTGTGTAACAACAAAAGGTTGTTAAAAAAATTAACCAAAAACAAACAAGAAAATCAATGATATCTAAAGAACAACTAAATGTTGATAACGTAATAGACAAAGTAATAAAGCTAAGAAATTTGTAGTCAAAATTACTTTTTCAAAATTTTAAATTTGTCTCAAATAAGTTGCTGTTTGTAATGTTCAAAACATAATACATTAAATGAAACACTGTCAGACAAGAAAAAAGGTCAACTTTAGCATTTTCGTAAGTCATAAGTTTGCGCAAGTTTTACGTCTTTTGAACTGTCATTTTATTTTAAATATCTAATTTTAAGGGTGATTAGATCTAAACTAATACAATTTAGGATTTTCATGACAGTTACCTTTTTGTTTATTGTTTTTTGTTTTTTTATGAAACTTCCATGATGTTTACTTTTCAAAGACAAGTTCAAAAATGCATTTCATGACATTTCAAGCTAAAAAAGGAAATCAAGCTAGTGTTAACAATGATATATCCGAGAGTTGCATTTGGATTTTCTGGAATCTTCACTGTTTGCACACAGCATTATTTTACATATTATATCAACAATTTACATTAAAAAGGGTTAGATTGGCAAAGAAAATTATGGCACAGCTTTATACTTTGAACTTTAACTTGTAACTGCCCTTTAGGGCCAAACAAACATAATCTAACCTAGCTTTTTCCTTTCTCTCTAACAGTTTCTGTCGAGCCATCAAATTCCACAATCTCCTTCGTTCTGAGAAACTACTGATATGGATTTAGTCAACACATATATCATGAAAAAACCTTGGACCATGAATGCACTATTTGCAGATTCGAAAGAAACTGATCTTTGGGGACACAAAGTAGGCACACATAATCTACTGCGCAAGCAAATGTGTCTCTCTCTTCCAATACAAACACGCACCCGCATTCTGCACTCGAACCCTGATCCGAGTGCAGACTTTTACACTTTCACGGACGCTTTTACCTCTCAGGCGTTTAACAGTAGTCCCTCAGGTGTTCCCAGGAGTAAAGAGCTCTTTTCAAGGGCACAATGTAGATAAGAAATCTCAGTGACTCAAGTTACAGAGTTTAAAAAGCCAAGCGATGTAGAATATCAAGTGCAAGGCTGACACAAGTATATGACATCATACTGTGGAGATGGCTATTGTTAAGCCTACATGTAAGCATGTTATACATAACGATCTTTTAGGTTGAAACAGCTATTTGTTTCAATTAATTAAACAGCTATTTGAGAGCTTAAAGTTAGGTTAGATCATAATATCATAATTTCAAGAGATACACAGTTATTTGTTTAATTTGTCTCGAAGTCATAGGATTATAGCATTTGACTTGACATCTAAAGATTAAATGTGCCGCCTGATGTTTTTGCCACTGATTATCTTCACCCGTTTGTATTAGCTATGAAATCCCTGAAGAGATTAACCCCATCCATAGACTGGGATGTCAGGAGGAGATTCTTAAAGCTTGCAGCTCAATCAAAATCCATTGTTTTCAAAGGAAATGGGACGTAAGAGAGCAGATAAAAGAAGGGAGAGGAGTCGAAACGGGACAAGATGAGAAAATTTTGAATTTAAGATGAGGGAAGTGTAAACGAGATGTGGAAAGAAGATGAGAAAACAGGAGACAAGGTAAGATGAGATAATATGAGGGAGGGGACAGTGAACGTGATTTCACCAAGTACAACATGTTCCAGGATCAACATCCTTGTTGATGCTTTAACAACATTCCAATCAACCAATCAGAATTGAGGGATAACTTTTAAGAAAATATCTGTTTTAGGCTTACGATCAGGGTTAGGTGCTTCTACAGTAATGCCGATCCAGTATCAACAAAAGATGTTGATCCAGGAACATGTCTCGGCGACCGGGAGGGGACGGGGAGACAAAATGAGATAAGATGAAGGGAGACAAGAGGAAACAAAATGAGAGGAAACGATATAAGAGAAGATAGGAGATGAGAGGTGAGGAAACGAGATGAGATTATATGAAAGGAGATGATGAGGGAAACAATGAGATGAGACAAGACATGATGAAAATAGACAAGATGAATTCAGATGAGGTGAGATGAGATGAGAGGAACTGACAGGAGATGATACAAGATTAATGGGGAGGAGATGAATCCAGGTGAGGTGAGATGAGGTTAAAGGAGTTGCGGTGAGTTGAGATGAGACGCAATGAGGCAAGATGATACAAGATAAAAAGAGAGGAGATGAATCCAGGTGAAGATGAGATGTTACATGATGAAAGGAGAGAAACCCATGTGAGATGAAGTGAGATAAGATGATATCAGATGAGATGAGATGAAAGGAGAAAACAAGAACCCCAGGTGAGGTGCGATGAAAACAAAAGACATGAGACGAGACGAGACAAGACGGAGAGAAACTTATGTGAGCTGAGGTGAGGTGAGATGAGATGAGACGAGATGAGATGAAAGGAGAGAACAAGATCCCCAGGTGAGACACAGTGAAAAGAAAATAAACTATACGAGACAAGACGAAAAGACACTAGGTGAGAAGAGATGAGATTAAACAAGATGAGACAAGACAAGATGAGATGAAAGGAGAGAAGAGAAGAGGAACACAGGTGAGGTGAGTCACAATAAAAGGAAAAGACACTAATTGAGACGAGACAAGACGAGACGAGACAAGATGAGATAAAAAGAGAGAAGAGGACTCCAGGTGAGACGAGATAAGATGAGACACAATGAAAAGAAAACACACTTGGTAAAATGAGATAAGACGAGATGAGACAAGATGAGATGAGACGAGATGAGATGAAAGGAGAGAAGAGGAACTCAGGTGAGGTGAGATGACACAATGAAAGGAAAAGACACTAGATGAGATGAGATAAGATGAGGGAAAACAGGGCAAGGTGAGATGAGACACGATGAAAGGAAAAAGAAGAAAAGAAGAGATTAGACAGGAGGAGACAAGACAGTATGAGTGGACTGGAGATGAGAAGAGACAAGAAGAGAGTTGAAGACAAAATGAGAAGAGAAGAGGAGTTGAGTTTAGATAAAGGAGACTATGGGGAGATGGGGTGGAAAGACGATGAGATGAGAGGAGACAAGATGAGAAGAGAAGAAGGGAGGGGAGACGAGGACACAAACTGCAGTAATGTGAGGGTGTTAGCCATGTGATTTCAAATGATTCGATTTGCAAGGGCTGGATCATCTTTCTGCTCTCTCTCTCTCACTCTCTCATAAAGCAGTAAGAGACATGAC